GGATCGTCTCATAAAGTACCTTCTAAACAGAATGGACATAAGGACCTTCCCCACTCCCACTTTTGGCCTTCATGTCCCCTAGGCTCTGACCTGCTGCACCGTGGAGGTGAAGACCCTAGATGACCGTCTACTCAACATCCCCATCAATGACATCATCCAGTGAGTCCGTTCACTTGGGCCCCAACAGATGGGAGAAGGGCTTCCTGGTCCTTAGTGGCACCCAGCACAAGGGAGTGAGAGGGATTGAAATCCAGCCCCCACTTTGGCCAAGCTGTGGGCTGCATTCATTTGACAAATGGAGTGCCTCATTGTGGAGGCTAGGGGCCCCCAGTGTTAGGAAATCCCTGTTGTCTTCATCCTCTAGAATTTCCAGAGTTCTGAATTGCATCCCCCAAGCCCTTTCCCCAGCAAGGTCCTCTGTGTGGGAAGCTTGGCAACAGAGCACTCCCCATTCCAACCCAGGGTCTGCTCACTTTCCTTCCCTCCTTGTCCTGTTTTCCATCTAAATGAGATTCCCGGAATCCTCCATCAGAGACTCAGTGTAAATGGATTTCCAGGGAGCAAGCTGTCTGGAACAAGCCAGTCTCCTCTCCCCTGCCACTGGTTCTAGAAGCTGGTGACTGCTGCATGCCTGAGGTTATGTGAGCAGGGGCAGATGTCTGGCTCTGGTGCCCTCTGAGTTCCCTTCTTTCATCCTCCCCTGTCTCAGCCCCAAGTACTTCAAGAAGGTGCCAGGGGAGGGGATGCCACTGCCGGAAGACCCCACCAAGAAGGGGGACCTCTTCATTTACTTCGACATCCAGTTCCCCACCCGCCTCACACCCCAGAAGAAGCAGATGCTGCGCCAGGCGTTGCTGATGTAACTCGGGTGGGCTGGGGCCTGAGCAGGGGTAGGGGAAAGTGAGCGGGGCCTGACCCCACCTCTACCCAGCCCCAGGGTGTGCAGGGGAGCCCACCCACTGCACAGACAGGACATGAGGACTGGATGGCATGGGATTTTTGAACTGACACAATAAAGTTTTTATTTCCTATCCTCCAGCTACACCCAGGAGAGTTATGTGTTAGATGGAGAAGAGCTTCATACAGCCCTTCTCGTGGAGCAGAGGCAAGGGCAGGGCCCAAAAAATTGAGGAGCTGGGACCCCATCCTGGCTATGTGAGCCTGGCCAGGTCTCTGAGGGTTCAGAGCCTCTGTGCTCCCACCTTGATAGTGGGGTGCAGTGCTGCATCATCTCTGAGGGTTCCCAGATCTATTTCTCATGACACATGCTCTCTGGAAGGGCAGTCTCTAGTGTGTTACAGTCACAGTGTACTCAAGAAAACTGAAGAACAACGAGAGCAAAACACTTGTCCCAGGTCACACACGGCTCAGTGGCAAAGCTCCATCAGAACCTTGAAGGCCACTTCTCACAACTTCACTCTGCTCCAAGGCAGCACCAAGGACAGACTGCCAGAAGTGGCTTAGGTTTCTGCCTTGCCAGTCTCCATTGCTGGTTCTGTGCAGTGGGTCCTGAGCTAGAACTCGGCAGGTTCTTAGAACTGGGCTCTGCTTCTAATCCTGCCCCTGCCCCTTTGGACATTATAATCCATCTTGTTAGTAAAGAAGAACCCATAACCCTCCTCAGGCTGCTCACTGATGTGAAGGTGCTTGGTGAACTCATGGCATAGGTATCAGGGTTACAGCATTGCTGCCAATATGGCCTATGGGAGTGCCAGCCTCCAGGCCCACCTGGGCTTGTGCAGACCACACCTGCTTCCCCAGTCTGCCTTCTGTGCCCAGGGAGGCACCCCTCACTGAAGTCTGGGCTTGGACTAGGAGAGATTCAAGCTTATGACAGAGAGGGTGGCCACTTACATGGAGTGACTTAAGAGACACCAGAGGGAATTCCCTGGTGGTCCAGTGGTTAGGACTCTCCACTTTCACTGTCAAGAGTGCGGGTTCAATCCCTGGTTGGGGGACTAAGATCCCACAAGCCTCGCAGTGCAGCCCCCTCCCCCCCAAAAAAAAGAAAAAAAAAGCGGGCCAGAAGAGGGCCCCATAGAATAGATATTGCTTTGATTACACCATTCAAAATATCATATTAGCTTAAGCCATTTTAAACCATCAGGGAGAAGGCCGCAGACCTTGAGATGTAGAATCTGACCCATTAAAGAATGTGGGCTTCGGAGTTAGGTACACCCCCAGGGGTTCTACTTGCCAGCTATGTGCCCTTGGGCAAATCGCTTCACCTCTCTGAAGCTGTTTACAATCCCTGTCTTGCAGGAGGAGGATTCCACACCTTACTTCTGAGCTGAGGTCTTATAGTCCCCAAGGACAGGGTTAGGTTATGAGTGGAAACCAGAGGAGTGGAGCAGACTCTGCCCTGAGGCAGGACCTAGGTGGAGAGGTGGTACTAGCTGCCCTGGTTTGACAGCGAGTGGGTGAGGACCTGCCCGGTGAAACCCTCGCAGTCTAGCTCTCCTCTAGGCCAGCAGCAAGGCCTGCTCCTAACCTCTTCCTCATGGTGAGATTCTCAGGGAAGCCTGGTTTCAGGCCTGATGAGGGCCATTTATGAGATTGTTATTAGGTCAGTGTGGTCTTCAGTGCTACTGTATGTCTGGTGTTTCACAGGCAGTGAGGGAGGAGTTACTGAGGCCTGCTGGTATGCTGTTCCGTGTTCCTACCACCTTTCACAGCTCCTGTCTCAGGATCATTCCTAGAACAATGAAGTCTGGTGGTCTCATGCCCAAGCCAGTGTCCGAAACACAAGACTGGTCAATGAGCCAGCTGACAAACACGCCTGGGGCAACAGACTGCCCCTCGGTTTCCTCTGGTGCACAACAGTGAATAGCCTGTCTCACAGGATTAATGTGAGAATTAGGGTGCATTAGGCACACTGACTGGATCCCGTTTAGGCCGACCCTTGCCACCCTGGCTTGATTCATGACACCCAACCTTGTCCCTCCTGGGGACTGTGAGACCTCAGCTCAGAAGTAAGGTGAGGAATCCTGGGCCCTCTTTCCTTCTCCATGACCCTAACATGCGGGACCCCTTGCCCGAGCACTGAAGGGCCCAGCCTCCAACTCTGACCGGTGGGGAAGGCCTGGTAGCACCAGCTGACTGAAGCAGGAAGGTCATGTTCTCTGGGCCTGGCTCCACAGCTGCCTAACAGGACTCCTGAGGAACCCCAGCACTGACTCCCGGGGGGAAGGGGGAGGGAGGAATCTGGTTCATAGACTGAGTTCAGCTGCAGATCTCCTATGTGTCCTTGCCTGCGTGACCTGTCCCAGTCTTCAGGTTCTTCAGACATCTATAAAACAGGCCTGGATGGCTTAATTCCAAGGCCCAGCTGTGCATGAGATGCCTTGAGATTCTGGAACCTCAGAGTCCCCAAACCCTTGAAATAGCAATAGCTCTGCCCATCTGTTTTCCTGACTAAGGCCAGGTAGCAGGAAGAGGGGCAGGGAGGCTGACACCCCTGCTTGTCACCACCTCCCTGCCTGGAATCTCTAGCCTGGGGTGAGGGTGAGACTCTAAATGGAAAGACTCCTCAGGCTGAGAATGGATGTCTGCTCTGCAGCCTGCTGTAGCCCATGCTGCCTCCTAAGGGTGTGACTGTGGAGGATGGACTTGCTCTCACTAGGCCTGGGACTTGGGGGAGGTGGGTTTCCTATTTATAAAGTAGAATAAAATAAGTGACAGCATCCAAGATCCCCAAGTTCCTCTAACTCTTCCAAGCAGCACAGGAGATGCAGGGCAAACAGGAACACTCATTCTGCGGAATAACAGGCCCAGGGCCTGCTGGGGGGTTGGAGGCAGGTGCTGGAGTACCAGGAGCTGGTGAGTGAAAGCTCAAGTGGTCTGGCAAGAGAGCCAGGCAACTGCGGACTCCAGGTTGCTCCTTCACTTCCCATCTCAGCCCTGGCCTGGTCTGGAGACGGAGGTGGACCAGATGGCCTCCACCCAGAGTGGACTGCTAGAGGAAGATGGGTCCACCCCCTGTTCCAAGTCAGGTGGCTCCTCCCCTGCCCACCAGGTGCCAAAAGGGCCCAGCAGACCAAGATCTGTGGTGATAGAGAGGGAGGAGACGCCAAGGTTGAGCTTGTTTTATGGGTGACGTGCTAGTTGGGCTCGGGGGCAGGAAGCAGGATGAAGAGTCAGGCTGAGGGCTTTCTAGAGAACTGGGGGCTTGAGATCCTGGCTGGTGCCAGGCTTTCCACAGTGTCAGCTGGGGTCAACTCCACCTGGACTGTGAGAGGCTACAGGGAGCTGAGGGGTGAGAATGTGGGGAGTGGGAAGGGAGCAGAAGAGAGGGAAGGGGAGAAGGGGAGGAAGAAAAAGGAAGCAGGGCCAGGCTGCAGCTGGAGCCAATGCTGATCAGGTCAGCAGCTGCTCAGAAGGGAGCCTCCCGGGAAGCACGGGCAGCCATGAGGGCCCGTTTCAGCTGCTCGTAGGTGACGAACATCACCACGTTCCAGGATCCCAAACGGAGAAAGGAGGGCATGAACCTAGAGGGGGAGAAAATACAGGTCATCTCTAGTTCGCCCTGGCATCCTGACAGATGCTCTGTCTCCCAGGAAGTTGGGATGGCCCAAGAAATGGAGCTGTGGGCAACAGTCCCCTCTGAGTCTCCATTTTAACACCCATAAAACGGGCATGATAGCAGCTCCAGGAGGGAGGAGTTAAGAGCATGAGAATGCCAGGACCAGGATCAGAAACTGCTGACATGTGGCTGCCACTCAGTCCCAGTGGTTCTCTCATTTGTGACGGGGACAGGAGGCCTGGACCTGGGAGGGGCAGGTCAGAGGCTCACCCTTTGTAGAAGGCTCGGGGCCCCTCCTTCTGGAGCATACTGAGGGCGCAGTGGCCAGCGCTGCTGTACTGGCCCAGGGCAGAGTTCATGTATCTCGTCTTGACCACGTCGACAGGGGAGGCGATGACGGTGGTGCAGAAGCCCGCCCCGAAGGCAGAAGTAAAGTGGCAAGGGAGGTCGTCTGCCAAGGAGGAGTAGGAAGCATCAGGACTCCTCCCCCGATAATTCCAGAAGGAGATGATTGAAGTAACTACGGTCTCGTGGTTTTAGACCCAGAAACTCCAGTGGGAACCTCTCCCAGTGCCTCTGAGAGTCGTTTTGCCCATGTGGCCTCAGGGCCTCAAGGTGCACTGTGGCAACTTCACCCCAGCTGGTGGCGATTCAGTGAGAGAAACTCACTGCATAAGCAAAGGGGAAATGGGATGAAGGATGTGGTCTCCAGACAGATCCACACTGGCTCCTGGTTTGGGGGAAGGGTGAAACCCAGTATCATCTCCCCTAATTCACCTGTCATTAGGTGGGCCTTCAGGAGAGTGTCCTTGATGAGGTCGTAGGTCACCAGCTCAGCACAGTTGACAATGGCATTGCGAGCGACATTGGGAGATGTCCCTACGGGAGGAAAGGGTGTCTATGTGAGACCAGGGAGTAGGGGAAGAGGAAGACAGGGAAGAGAAAACAGCTGGTACACACCTTTCCAGAGTCCCCGAAACCCCTCCTCTCGGGCAATGGTTTTGTAGGCCTCAACAGTGCTCTGGTACCTCCGGCCAGCTCCAGCTCGGGCCTGCGCTTGGAACCGGACCTTCACCACATCCGTTGGCTGGGCCACGGCCACGGCCAAGGCACCAGTGGTGCTGCCTGCCAGGAGGCGGCTCCCGATGCCGGCATCTGTCGGAAAGCCATGGGGGTCAGTGGCCACCTGGGCTTCCCCTAGTGTCCACCTCTCCTCACCAGAACCACACCACTGAAATCTGTCTTCACTGTCCCCTGTTAATAAGACCCAGACCAGCTCTGCTCTAAGAACACCTTGCATCATACAGTGTCTATTATGTACTGTGGGCACTGGGACAGAGCAAGGAACAGGACAAAATGAGGTTTAATGCTATTTTCTTTCATAAAGCATTTCTATTCACTTCATTTCACTCACTAAATGGCCCTGAGAAATCAGAAACTTTTATTTTGGGGGCTGCATTGCAGAGCTTGTACGATCTTAGTTCCCTGACGAGGGACTGAACCCAGGCCCCAGCAG